CCTCCCGCCTTTTCAGTCTTTGCCTCCAAAACCTTCACTCCTCTAGGGAGAAGATATGCCCAGGCTAACTGTTTGCAGCTCAAACTACTTTCCAAAAAAAAAAAAATCAAAGCAAATGACAAGAAATAAAACCATTAGGCAAATCTATTTACTCAGATTCAATATACTATACTTCCTAGCTGGGCCTCCTTGTTTGTACCTCACTGTCTAAGGTAAGAACAGAGGAAGGTGACATCCATGCATCTCTCCTGGGTGACTGAAGGGAAGTACATCCCACAAGACAAATGCAGAGTCTCCACTTGCTTGGGGACTTAGCTCTGGCCCCTCATTTCTCCATTATTCATCCACCAAGACCCTCTCTCTCTCTCCCACTTAAGAGAATACAATGTATTCTATTTTTACTTAAGGCTTCTTCTATAGGAGATCAAAGTAATTAGTCTTCTTCAACGTAGACCGATGTGAGAGAGAGATCTGATGAAACTTTATAGGTTATAAACTGTAAAATTAGATTACCCAAATCCCTGGTGATTAGGTAGTCATTTTATAATATGTATTCAATTAAAACGTGGACTGTCGCAAATAAGCAGGGGTTTTTTACTGTAATTTACCTCTGGCTGAGCAGAAAGTTCTCTCAGAAGATGACAATTCCATACAAACCGCTGATCTGCCTGAGAGAGAAGTTTTAAAATTAATAAAATATCTCCAGCCAAGGCGAGTTTCCACAGAAAGAAAACCAGGACAATCAGCTTCCACCCTGTGGCCAGAAACAGGTCTCTCTGACATACTCTAAACGAACTCCCTTCCCCTGGTCTGCCCCTCCTCTGGGTGTGCCTATCGCGTCGCCTGATGCCTGCGCTGCTGGCCCAGACGGAAACCTGCGAGTGTTCTTTCTCATATATTTAGTCCATCGGCGAGTCCTAAATCTCCCTCCAAATCCATCCTCTCGTCTCCGTATCTACTCCTACCACCCTAGGCCAATGCTTGACTCAAGCCTAACAGCTTCCCATGTCTGAAGTCCTGGCCTGGCCCTGCCCAGCCGTTCCTCCACAGGCTGCCAGCAGGAGTCCTCTAACATGACAGACAGGTCTTCTGGCTGCTGGAAATTCTTCACTGGCTCTCTGTCACCTGAAGAACCAAACCTTCTGGGTGGTGAGCACACAATGTGATATATAGGTGATGTATTATAGAAATGCACACTAGAAACCTATGCAATTTTACTAACCATTGTTACCCTAATGAATTTAATTAAAAAAAAAAAAAAAGAACTTTAGACCATCTTTGCATGGTCTAACCCAGGGGTTGGCAAACTGCGGCTCGCGAGCCACATGTGGCTCTGTGGGTATGTTCCATCTCAAAAGTTTGCCAACCCCTGGAAGAGCCAATTCTGTCCCTTACAACAATTTAAAAATTATTCGAGAGCCATAAATATATTTTTACATAATCACCACTATGTGAATAATATCCTTTAAAATTTTTATAAATGAAACTATGAGTTTTATTTTCATTTTCAATTTTACTTCAGCCACATGTATGTACCCAAAGAGCCACGTGTGGCTCGCGAGCCACAGTTTGCTGACACCTGGCTGCTCTTCTTTCTCAAAAGTTTGCCGACCCCTGGCCTAACCAGTCCTGGGACCTGGTAGCCCAGAACTCTCTGATCTCCTCTGACCATTTCGACTCACAAACTATAAATACAGAAGAAGCTCCTTCAGTAACTCAGATTAACCAGTTCTCTCCATTCTCTCTATAAACACACCAACTGACACACCCCCCTCTCCCTCTCCTCCCACCCTCCCCTGCCCCAAGATGAAAGTCCCAGGGAGTGGCTCCTGCGCTGGGCCACACTGCCCGAGGCTCAGGTGCGTGTTCCCAGCCAGTTTGTCCCAGCTGTACTTGTTACTCAACAGTATATCATTTAACTAAATATTTTATAATCAGTGAAATGTGACTTGACAAACTGTTTCTATAAAGCTGAATGATTTGGAATTTAACTAGATAAAAGGCAAGATGCTAAAACAAAACTGTTGTTGAATTAGAAGTGGGAGTGGCAACTATAAAAGATTAGAGAAACATAAAAATCTATAGGATTCTGTAAACAGATTGCTTGTAAGTGTCAAAATCTTTAAAGAGACTCAAACTGGAAAGCGTTATGGATGTAATTTATCCAGAAAGACAATTAGGAATCATAAAATAAAAACAAAGAAAAGCCTATGGTCTTACATCAAAAAATTGACCAATGTAAAATTTTAAGTTAAGATAAAATGTTTAAGGTGTATGTGGTGCATTTATGATTGATTTTTATGATTGATGCCCTATATTAACTCTGACTCTTGGTTAGCTGACAAAAATCTCATTTCTCATCCTCACAGATGTGACAGCTTCTTTTTCAGTTCAGCCAAATATTGTCACCATCTCTGCCTGGAACCCTCCGTCTCCCACTGTCACCTAACCAATAAGGCCTACTCATCAGCAAGTCTCAGCTCAATAGTTACCTTTGTAAACTCGCCCCTGACACCGCTAGACAGAATGAGACCCACCTTCCTTCAGGAGCCCGCTACACTTTGGTACATATCTCTGTGATAGCTATTGTCCCTTCTTTTGTGATTGCTCGGACTTCTACTTCCCCAATAGACTGCAGGCTACCACAAGGCGGGGGCCATGTCCTTTCATGCTGTGTCCCCAAGTGGCTAGTAGAGTGCCTGGTACATAGCAGGCATTTGAGAGACATTTGATCAACAAATGGGGAATGTAACCACTGCTTTTAAAGCAACAGTCTCTTTATAGTTATAAAGCTAAATTTCTCGATTGCTTAACTTACATCTGTATTTACAGCTAAGCCTACATAAATTTTACTGGATTACGAAATCTTAAAAAAGCCAGTAAACTAAAATCCGGACTTGAATTATATGCAATTATCATTTTTATTGGTCAAAACTGGTCAATTTCCAAAACTGGTCAATTATTGGCAATTTCATATGGTCCAACCTAACAGGTAACTGACAGCAACATTTTAAATTCTGTCTGCCCCCAAACACATCTAAGGTTTGTTAATAAAAAAATCAAGGCAGCAATTATCCAGGTTCCTGAACTGCAGAAATTTTAAGTTGAGATCATCTGAGGCCTAGTTTTAAAGATACACTCATCTCAAAAATAAATAAATAAAAAGAGTAACAACCTCTCCTTAAACAAAAGGTTATTTTTCAAGTTCTTATGCCAGTAAGTTGTTACTTTTCTGCTGCAAAAACTATAAATAACACCACTGCAGAAACATCATCACCTGTTAGAACAGTGTTTACAAGCATAATTATGTTACTAACGTTAGTAACTGTTATACCGTAGAATAGGGAGAGCTTGTTTAGACTGGACTTCTGACATTGGTGGTTCTCAGTCCTGTCTGTGTAACATTCAACAGTTCTGGGGCATATGTTCTGAACTCGAGATTGTGATGTATATTTGAGACATGGTATGTTTTTAAAACCCCATACATGATCCTGATACAGCCAAAATTGAGAAAAATCAATATGTATTTTTATGGATGAAATAGAGATATACCACCACCACCACCACCACCACCACCCCCCAAAAAAACCCAAAAAAAAACCCCACAAATAAATCAAAATAACTGACAATTAAACTTACCCTTTCCAAGAGACTCATTTCTTGAAATTCTGGACTAGTGTTGGACAGCCGCTGCAGTGTGTGGGTCAAATCATATGTGGTTGAAAAGTAAAACCCATCCACATTCAAGACATGGTTTATCATTGCTAGGAAGGTTTTATTATCTTGTAACTGTAAACAAAGGGGAGGAAAAAAAACTCAGTCTATCTCATACTTGAGAAAGAATCTGTCAGCATGAAAAAAGAAGGAAAATAAAAACCTGTGAGTCCGGCCCTGTTAAACACTACCAGTACAAGGGCTGGGCTGGGGAGGGGGCCCCCCGCTCACTATTTCCGCAGGACATAGGACAGCGGACAGCTCCTGATACAGACGACACTCAATAAACAGTGTAAAGTATTATTATATTAATTGGTTAGGCAGAACTCCTTCCCTTTGGTATCCTTCACAATTTTCACTCGAATGAGCAGGAGAGTCATTTGACAAAGCATCACCATGTTAGGTTACAGCCTACTGTGTGCCAGACATTTTACATAGATTCTCTCTCATCTTCAGAAACAACCCTGTTACATTAGTGTAATTATCCTCATCTGACAAATGAAAAACATAAATTATACAGAGAGTAAATAACAAGAGAATAATACCATCCTCATTCTTAAGGGACTTTACTGGTTGGGGTGGGTGGTAAGTAAAATAGAAGTTTTTCTTAAAAAAGACAACAAAGATTAAAAGTACTGTAAAAGTTATATTTATCTTTATTTTCTGATAATCATTTTAGCTGGCTTTTCCAATGAATACCAAGATTGACACTTGTTTTTATCCTTGTTTAAAAAAAATAACTGTTAATGTTTGGAAACCGTGCAACACAATCACTTCATCCTTAATGTTGACAAATTCACCTTGACTACGACTTTGGTCTGTGTACCTAGAGTCTCTTGGACGGCGACCGTGTCAGCATTCCCACGGTCAGCTATTTCTTCTCTACCCCATTTATGTTGGACTGAATTCCACTTCTAGAGGTGTCACTTTCGGTTTCTTTGCACTTTCATGTTTGGTGGGCTAGTTCTTTAGTTACTATACCATGATAACTGAAATGTGAACATGTTGTTGGGGGACTGGCAGCTGAAATCTGTGCACACAGGAATCGTGCCAAAGGATTGTTTGAACATATATACACACACTTATAGTCACATGTGGTGAAAGTGAAGAAAACTTTTTTCTCTGCGGAAAGAGGGAATGAAATAGAATGAGTGGAACTTCAATGGTATCTAATATTTTATTTCTTTACAAAAAAGGATATGAAGTAAAATCCAGGTGTTGAGAACATAAGCATTTTCTGCTTGTTCTTTTCTCTCCACATGAAATTTCATAATTTAAGAACTGAGTCAGTTTTCTTTTTAAAAAGAAACCAAGATAAATAAAATATATGAAGAATTTTTTCATAAATTTTATGGCGAGGTATATAGGTACGTAGAGTGACTTTGCTCTATGGGTTGCTTAAATAATCAGGCTTAAAAATCCATCAACATTCTTTGCATCCCACCTCCCTCTCTCCATCTCCATGGTACCCCTTTGGGTTTTACAGTTAGTTAAGTGCTTTCAATTCTTACCTGAATATCAGTTAAGTGCAACATAGTCCTCTTATAGGAAAGGACATCAAAATCTGTTGCTTTCCAGATTACGTGATTGAAAAATTCACCTATTTTTGTCTTTTTGGTAATGACGATTAGATAATTTCCTGCAAAAAGCAAAGCCAAACTCACATAAACATAAATAAGGCAACTTCAAAAACAGCAGTCCTTCTTGTTTAAATGTCTAAAAACTGGCAGAATGAGACTGCATAGTACTATCTAGTTCAAAGGACCATGCTTTTTTTTTTAAAGGATTCTTATAATTTATGAATAGAAACACCAGCACATTGTTTAGAAAAATTCCTATCGAAAGGTCAAATTCTTTTTTCTCAAAAAGATAAAACCAGAGCAGTCATCTTAGCAGATGAAAAGTAGGGACAGAAGACACTTCTCTCTCCTGTCATCCCCAAGGCAGACAGGCCTCTGCTAATCCATTTCCCAGTGTGTAGCCTAAAGCACCACAGGTCATGAGATCTGATCACTGCAGGACACTGTCCCGTCTACACCATTCCTATATCCTTCATGTCAATCTAAATGGTAGATAAATGTGCTGAAGCGGTATAACTAGTGGTTACTGCAACATTACAGATGGTCCCCGACTACCAGGTTCACCTCATGATATTTCGATTTTACAATGGTGCGTAAATGATACACATGCAGTAACAACTGTGTTTTGAATTTTCATCTTTCCCAGGCTATGGATCTGCGGTACTACATTCTCTCGTGATGCTACGCAGTGACAGCGAGCCACAGCTCCCCGTCAGCCACGGGATCACGAGAGTAAACAGCCAGTGCTCTACATTGTATTCACTGTGCTAGCTGATTCTGCCCAACTATAGGCTAATGGAAGTGTTCTGAGCGCTTTTACAGTAGGCTAGGCTAAGCTATGATGCTTGGCAGGTTAAGTGTACTCAATGGAATTTCAAGGTACGATATTTTCAGCTTAGCATGGGTTTATTGTGATGCAACCCCACTGTAAGTCAAGCAGCATCTGTACGAAGATGAGAAGTCAGGAATCTAGAAGCCATCACAGCACCACACACAGCATACCAACAACCTTGACCCTGGCCACCTCCTCCGCCCACAGACAAAACAGGGGATGCCTTTCCCACTAAATTAATTCTTAAGCTCTGTTCAAGGCTCCACCCACACGTGCCCCCACTGGAAGTTTTCCTACATATGTCTCGTTCCTAGAGCCCGACACGCTGTGCTGCAGTAATTTACTACTTAAATGCCTCTCTTGCTAGACTGTCAAGTGCAGGATAAAACGGACTTGCATCTTTTATAACTCAGCATCTAGCACCGTACCTGATAAAACAGGAATTTTTTTTAAAGTTCAATGAAATGAAATTTAGATAAACAAAATTACTTTCCTAATAACGCAGAACCAGGTAATATTCTCTAACAGGCACCATGTCATATTCAGTATGGGGTTGAAGGTAGACTACTCTGGTCCATCAATGCATGAAAATTTTTATTTACTCTTAGAATTTATGAAAAATGTCTAGTTGAAATAAAATAAAAAACAAAACTGCTTTTTAATAGAACCTGGCTGATAAATTGAACCATTTGCCATTTGGGGTACGTTACTTTGAGAAATTAATAACAAACACCTAATCTACAGATTTATTGTCTAAAGCACAATCCGATGTCTTCATCTTATACTCCAATCATGTCAATTTATTACCATCTTTGCCCATCTTATTTTTTCTTACCTGCCACCAGATGGATTGTGCCCAGTATACCAAATATTGGTCTTGTGACAGCTGAAGGGGGAATATCTTTCTTGACTAAAAGGAAAAAAAAAAAAATCACATAGAAAACGCTTACCAATACAAAGGAAGATTTAGTGTGATTTCAACAGTTACTTCACCTAAATCAACATGTATGATTCGTTCTTAGAAAGCAATATTCCTTCATTAATGTCACACCTCCATTTTGGTAGAATTTAAAATAAAGATATCCACATTATATGTAAAGGTCTCTGCCTGTCTAGAATATGGTGTCAAAAGTAACACGCTTCAGACTTCTCATTCATGTAAATTGTGGGTTATTTCTAATGTCAATTTTCAACAAAATTTATTTAACCTCTTACCAGAAAGTAAGTCTCTATCCCTTTAAGAGAATTAGAAAGTAAATGGGAGGGAGGGTTGAGACAAGATTTTAATCTCAATGTGCAACTAATGGAATGCAGAAAAAGACTTGCCTACCCATGTCTAAGAATGTGGGCTATGGAGGCAAAGGTCCAGGGGAGGCAGGAAGAAGGAAAAGCCTTCTCCTAGAGCCGACAGTAACTCATACAGGTGTGCAGGGAGTCACCATCGTTACCTGTGACTTTATCAATAATGCCCTTATTAACAAATTAATCTATTAATCTTAGATTACAGAGTTCATTTCATAATTGTTAAACTTTAAATCAATGTGCTTCTCAAGAATATTTTGTGGAACTGTAGTTTAGGGAATAATGGCCCCAAAAGGGTGGAGGTAGGGTCTGCCCATCAAATAAGCTTCTTTCACTACATCCATGTTACCATTCCCAGAAAGAGGCAGGATGCCAGGAGGAGGATAAAAGCTGTGAGAAGGCCTATGGTAAAACAAAGCTGTTCTGCTGTTTAATTCACGGTTTCCCAAAACTTATGTGGCCATACAAATTTTCTTTCAGTCACAGTTTCATTATCATATTGGAATCCATTTTGAAACACTGCTATAAACCCAAGTTCTTTTTCTTAAAGGTAGTACTGTAATTCTGAATAAAGTCTAAAATTCATTTGTTTCACGCTCAGAAATTCAATTTAGTTAGCAATGCTATGCCACAATTAACTAACGCGAGAAATGGGAACACCAGTGCAGTGAAAACAGCTCAGAGAAAATCCTGAATACATGGGGATCATTGGATGAACTTAAATAGAGCTGTTTAAGTTATACTGACTGGAAAGCAACAGCAATAAAACTATGAGAATTCCTAAGAATATATATTAGTTTTTCATGGAAGAAAAAAAATCCCTCTTTCCATGACAGTGGTCTGCTTTTCCAAAGGTAAAAAGTAACTGGCAGAGACACTGAGTCAGTCAGCCCCTCAGTATCACTGGCTCAGGTCAGTCTTTTCATGTGTCTACTGATGAGAGCTTGGTATTATCTTCACATCCAAACTATGTCCATGGTCTTTAGCTTTGTCCACTCAAATGGGTCTGCAATCTCTACCTACAAATTAAATGTCACTGAAAAGTAAAAAATAAATGAAAATACATCCATCCATACTAAAGCTTTTATGACACTAGGTTGTATCAATAGGATACAAAGAAGTAGTATGATTATACTTTAGGAAAATGCTCTAACGTGGTTAAAACCAATCAGCCTTCTTGAGAGAGCGGCCACCAAGCAAAAGACATAACAAATGCCAGATTATCAAACTAAGAGACTCTAATCCCATTTGGTCAAATGAAAACTACATATATGGTACTTAGCATAATAACCAGATAACCAAGGAAATGGGAATGCACAGCCATAACTTTCTTACGTTTTACTAACTTATGCAAAATATTTTCATATTTCACTTATCCATTCAAAGGATAGTCACTGTTTACTGAATGCCTACTCTATGGTTACTCAAATACTGTACTTAAGAAAAAAATACAGAACTCTGTCTATAGGTGAATTTTTAAACAAATGAAATATGAAATTCTCAATGTAATATCACATGGTACATTAATTTGTCACCAAAATTATTTCACATTAATCTAGTCAGAAATCAGAGTTCCACGCAATTGAAAAAAAAAAAAAACTGTTAAAAAAAAAAAAGACAAGAAAGCAAATTGGTTTTTATACCCCAGAGAAGCAAAAAATGAAATATAGCTGGAAAGATAGAAGTTATAATATAGATAAAGCTTAGGAATATCATTTGCCTAAAATACAAGTTTTAGTCAGTGATGTTTGTATTATTTTTCATTTATTAAATTGTCCTCACAGTCTCGAATACTTTAAAAAACAAAGGCAGCTACTAAAATTCCATGCACTTAATGCTAACACAACCTTCTCCCACTCAAAATACCCTAAATCTTACAGCTAGAAAAAACTTAGACATCAATAAAACCAATCCTGTTCGAGTACAGATAAGGGAACAAATAAAGAAATAATCATGTTTTTAAATCCTTATAGATAGTAAAAATTTCAAGATCATTTCTCCTTTTCATAAAAAAGAGAAAACATAGGGCCGGCCGAGTGGCACGTCAGTTAAGAGCTGGCTTGGGACGCCAGAGGGCCCCGGTTCGGATCCCACATGAGGGCCAGTGACACTGCCCTCTACAGCTAAGATGCTGAACAGCAGCTCAACCTGGAGCTGGGCTGCCATGAGTCGCCGGCGACGGCATAGGCTGCAGCCCCTGTTGCAGTGGGTTGCCATGGGCTACCGTGTGTAGCCAGCAGCCAGCGTGAGCGGCCAGCAGCTGCTATGAGCGGCTGTCCAAAAGCCGGTGACTGATCTGCCTCGCCTGGGAAGAGCGTGATGGTGCCAACTTGGGCCAGTGAAGCAACGTCCTCCACAACTAGACTGAAGAACAAAAGGACAGCAACTTGTCTGTTCCCCTTCCCCCAATTCCCCAGCACTGTTCCCATCCCCCAATTCCCCAATAAAAATCTTAAAAAAGAGAAAGCATAAAATTAATGAATAAAAATCAAATGACGTAGCAAGAATTAAAATTTTATAAGACACTCAGAGATCCACACACTGACCACCTCTGATTAATTTATTGTAATGGCTACAACTTGAGTATAAACTCATTCTCAGACATCTTTAAATCTGGCTGTAAAATACCTGCGAGGGTGACCTCTGTGGACACACGGTCGATGATAAGTACATCATCTGCTCCATCATCACAAGCTTCCACGTAAAATTTTTCAGGTGTGATATGCCTAAGAGAAATTGAAAACCATAAATAAAAACCAAATAAAAAGAAGACTTCTAAAAAACTATTTATTATAACAATTTCAGCAGTTTAAACTTGACATCATTTTTCCAGCTTCTAAATAGAGGAAGCTGTTATGCTGTCCTTATGTGTTTACTGCCACTCTTTTCACTTCATTTAATGCTGATAAGATTTTAATTTGCTATAAAGCCACCAATTTGACTTACACAAGAAAATCATAATAAATTCTAATTTATTATATCTAACACGGTGCAGAAGGCAAGTAGTATAGTAGTTAGGAGTACAATCTATAGAACTGAACTACCTGTGCTGTGTGACTTTGGGCAAGTTACTCATCCTCTCTGTTCTTCAGTTCCAATATTCATAAAATAAAGATAATACCACACTCATCAAGTAGTATTGTTGTGAGGATAAAATGAGCTAATCTTAATAAGCACTTAGAACAACATCTGACATATAGTAAGCAAAATATAAGTATTAGCTAAAAATATTAAGAAACATTTTAAATAAAACATTTCCAGGAAATCACTTAAAATAAACTACTTCAACTTTGGATGTTTTTTGTTAGAATGTCACATTAAAGAAGTGAGAAAGAGGGGAGAAAAAACTCATTCTGCAAAATAAATAAAATAAAACGGGTAAAGTTAGGGTTGGGACAGACAACTCAAAATTTATGCAACTTTGTGAACAGACTTTTGGTTCCTCAGGAGATAACCAGGATAACTCAGGCAAGCAATTTAAGCTTGTTAGGGACTGTCTCAGGAAATGTTAATTAACAGAAACAATTAAGTGAAAATGCAGATTTGCAGGTGCTAAAACAATGCAGACTGGGGCTGTTGCTAAGATGGGCCCAGGAGGAGTACAACCCTCTAGGAGAGTTAAGGCTGGCCAGGAAACCAGTCTGCTCCACGTCCCCACAACTTATCTTACCTGTTATAAAATCACACTTCAAAAAATTTCTGTCTGTACAATAGCCAATCTGAAGGCTTTTTCCTTCCCTTTTTAAATTCTACTCCCTCTATTCCACTCCCCTTGCCCATGAAAAATCTTATACAAACCCATCCAACCATTGCTGGTATCATTTCTTATTTACCAATCGTGTATAAGCTACTTGGTCTTATAGAAACAAGTCCTGAAGCAGAACAAACTGCAATGACCATTTTTTTTTTACTAAGTTCTCCGAGGAACAATCAACCCTTAATTTTCCAAATATAACTTACAGCCTTTTATGGTTCACCTATAATTAACTTAATATTAGGCTAGCTTCCTCCATTTGGGGGGAGATGCTAAAGGAATGAAAATCAATTTTAATACAAACCAAGCAAAATGAAACAAAGATGACAAATCTGCCTCAAATATGGCAGACATCAGTTCAAACCAACTATGATAATAGCTCATTCCTTTTTACTGCAGAATCTATTCTATTGTATGGGTCTATCACAATTGTTTATCCATTCACTTGTTGATGGACATTTGGGTTGTTTCCAGTTTGGATATTATGAACAAAGGTACAATGAGCATTCTCATAGAAGTCTCAAGGCAGACATATGCATGCATTTCTTTTGGGTGACTACGAAGAAATAGAACGGCTGGATCATATGGTACTGGTTTAACTTGTGCAGAGAGGAAAAGAGAGAGCGGTTATAGGCACAAGGAAACTTTTCAGGGTGATGGATGTGTTCATTATCTTGTCACTGGTGATGGTTTCATGGGTGTAAAAATGTATCAAAATATATCAAACTGTACACTTTAAATATGTGCTGGTTTTATTGTTTGTTTTTTGGTTTTTGTTTTGTTTCTTTTTTTTTCTTTTCTTTTCACTTTTTAAATATGTGCTGTTTATTGCATATCAACTATACTTCAATAAAGCTATAAAAAGAAAATAAAGTGAGAGGCCCTGAAACAAAATAAAAGAAATATAACAAACTTCACACACAACCTACTCATAGGTAGTTACCTCTAGCATTAAATCATTTTTTATAAATTCAACATTTCAATCCATATGTGCAGAATGTTTTATGCAAGTGTAAGCTGCATTCTAAGAATAAGTCAATAAATTCATTGAAAAGCTACCATGTGCTAAGCATTAAACAATGGTTAGGAGGTAGGTGATATATAAAAACCAAATAGGAAATAGAAGAAAAAATTGTTTTTATTAAAAAGCAGACCTGAAAAACAAGACTTGCTTATAAAAGCTGCTGAAATAAGGTGCTGTCTCTAAGCCAGATGATCTTTTGATAAGCCTCACTTTTAGAGTCCCTCCGCCCCCCTCACCCCTACTCTGTTAAATGCTGTGTTAAGTGCCTGTGCAGGTGAGATGTCCAATTGCATTGTCTGGGGCTTAAGCAGGCTGGAGACCTGAAGTCATGTGAAATGCTTTCATACAATGGCTATTGCTATCACGGGACATCCTGTCCAACTCTAATGTCCTAGGAAACTCCATGAGCTCTTTTCATAAGGTTCAAATGAGTAACAAAAAATCTCTCCTGTTACCTTATTTTTAAAACAATAATTATAACACTGTCAAGAAACAGTACATTACCAATGTTCTTTAGTGTTAAGTCAACTACCAACCATCCAGAATCACAGTCAATCAGCAAACACATGTACACCCTGTTTGTAGGGAAACCATAGCCTCTAGTGAAACACTCCAACAGATTATGAGAGCACTGCACGAGCAGTGACACTGAAAGGCCTCAGGACTTGGAGTAAAAGCAGGGGCTCTCCTCCTGACTTGGCCGTTACTAGCTGTGTGATGCCGGCCCAGCTGTGAGTGTCCACCCCACGCCAGGCCTTTTCTAGGCACCACAGGCACCAAGTCCCTGACTCACAGAGCTTACATGCTACTAGGAAAGGCAATCAATATCAATATGCCAGGAAGTAATTCAGTGATTTCAGACAGCGATAAAGCTATGAAGAAAATACAGTTTGTAGGGAGATAGAGGGAGGGGGAGGTGATCAATCCCCCTGAGGATGAAATGAAACAGCATGTAAAAGCTCCTGGCACAGCTGTGACCAAAGAGAAGAATCTCTATCCTTAATGAAGCCTGAGGATGAACAGTGGGAATTAAATGAGCATTTATGAAGGGCCGACTCATAGGTATAACATTTTATCATTAACAAAAATATCCTTTAACACAGAAGGGAGAAAAATTACAAATTTTCATGACCGGACACTGTAAGGTTATTCAATTCACACTTTACAGAAATAATAAAATAGAAGGTATTGATTGGTATCTTTGTCACATGAACAATACCTGAGCAATTTAGTTCTGATAGGAAGACACTGGAATCAAATTATATCCCAATTTAAATATATTTTATTTGAACATATATAACTGCAATACATGAATGGCAACATATTAGCTATATAGCTATGCTTTAATTCCTATGTATCCTCAATTATATTAAGCTGATAATTAATTAGGTATAATTATTCCAATAATGCTATCCCAAAAAGTAAAAATACCTAGGTTTCACATTTTGGCCTCAGAATTACAGTGAAAAATATGCCTTCCTCACCATAATTCCAAGTTTCTTAATACTTTAAGACCTAAAATATCTGTCAACATATCTGGACAGAATTGAAACCAATGTAAATCTGCATGTTTACAAGAAATCTATTCCACAAGCCAGAACAGTACAAAAAAAATCTGAAAAAAAAAGTTACATTAAAACAAAGAACCCAGAGTTGCATATTAGGAGCAAATCCTCACCCAAAATATCAAGACTATATAAAAAAGAGCTCTGATTTATCAACAACAAATGCTCTGGGATAATAAAAAATGTGAATAAAAACTATGAATGTCTTTCTTGATTTATTTGTAAAGATGAGTCTAGCAGATCCTGCTCTATAGGATCAGCCCCTGCACAACAACTCTTCCACTGCAGTCAAGGCCAGTACTCACAACCAGTGAGCCCAAGGGTCAGTCTCACCCACTGATGTGCAATTATCAACATAGGCTCAACTACAAGAAGAGGGCACACACAACCCACACAAGGGACACACCTGGAGTGCACGGATCAGGTAACCAGGAGGACTGCTCCAGTGAACCCCACAGCACACCTACTACATAAGGCCACTCTACCAAGACCAGAAGACATAGCAGCCCTACCTAATACATAGAAACAAACACAGGAAGGCAGCCAAAATAGGGAGACAAAGAAACATGTCCCAAATGAAAGAACAGAACAAAGCTCCAGAAAAAGAACTAAGTGAAATGGAGATAAGCAATCTACCAGACTCAGAGTTCCAAGGACGCTCACTGATCTCAGGGAAAACTTGGACAAAGAGAAACGAAACAAAAATGGAGATAGAAAACACACAAAAAAGCCAATCAGAAATAAAGAATAAAGAGCTGGCTTGGGAGCACGAGCTCTGAGCAGCAGGGCTCTCGGTTCGGATCCCACATGAGCCAGTGACACTGTACCCTCTACAGCTAAGATGGTGAACAACAGCTCGACCTGGAGCTGGGCTGCCGTGAGTATCTGGTGATGGCGTAGGCTGCAGTGGGGCTGCAGTGGGCTGCCGTAAGCCACTGTGAGTGGCCGTCCAATGGCCGGCGACCGATCTGCCTCACCCGGGAAGAGCACAATGATCACAATAACAACATGGGCCAGTGAAGCGACGTCCTCCACAACTAGACTAAAGAACAAAAGGACAGCACCTTGTCTGTTCCCCTTCCCCAATTCCCCAATGTTGTTCCCCTCCCCCCAATTCCCCAATAAAATCTTTAAAAAACTAAGTTACAGTTTTTAAACTCTTACAAACCTAGTTTGAATCCCAACTCCACGCGTACTATCACGAGTCCCTGAACAAACCACTGAACTTGGCAGCTCGGCTTTCTCTCCATTAAAAAGAGGTAAGCGATAGATAAGAGTAAGTAACAGAAAACACAAGATGTGTCCAGCACTAAGAAGAGACTCCACAAAACGGTGGCATTATTTTACGAAATGACCTCAGACCACTGGGTTTTTTTTAATTAT